TCTTAACATTTATAGATGTAATGAACAATTTTCTAAGTAGGAAAAGTGCAAGTATACTTACAGTCAATTCCATAAGAGTTAGATATAAGTACAATATAGAGTAACTACAGCTATCTCTATTGAGTGCTTATACGAGCTAAACAGTCTTTTAAATGCTTATATGTATTATATCTATTACATATTTTATGCTCACCATAACCCCATGAAATAGGTGCTTTGATTCAACCCCTAGCAGTCTGACACCAGAGCCCCTGTGCTATAAAACATGGTACATCATTTTCTAAACTACAGGTAATCTTGTTATTTTTAATGTCAAGTCTCTAGTCAATCCCTGTTTTTGTAAGTTATATCTGAAGTTTTTCATGTAGATTTTGAATATTTACCACACATTATTTGATGTGGCAAAGCTAGTATCTTCACATCTATTTGAAGATACTTGTTGGAGGTAGAACAGAATAGTCTATGACACATTTTAAAGCATAGTCACTTAAACTAGGAAGCCTGGCATGTGTTTGTTTTACAATACAGACATATGGATATTTCCTCTTAAAGAAAGCAGTTACCATCTGTAATTTGAGAGGTCAAAGAGAAGCAATTAGAAACTCCACTTTAAAGTGCCTGTTTAAATGAAAACTCTTATCTGCAAGAGTGGAAGGAACATGTTAAATCACTGATGGCCTTGAACGCCCTCGTTCAGATAATCCAACCCCTCATTCTTTGAAGATTTTAGTACTAGATTCATTACTCATTATCACTCTCTCCAAGGCTGTTCACCACTCCAATACTACTATCACTCCTGTAGATAATTCCTTATGAAATATATATATATATCCCTTTCAATCTCTTTCTGCTTCTCAGTTCCTTTATATCACTCTTCAGATGATTTGTGCCCTCTGCTATCACAGCTCCCCACTTTCATGATCATTCCCTACACCTTGACAGTACTGATAACAACAGCCCTTCTTCTAATTTTAATTTCAGGCCTCCTCCCCTCCAACCCATCTCTTATGTTTTCAGGTCATTCTCTAAAGTACCTAAACTCCAACAATTCTTCAACCTGATTAGAAACACCAGGTCTGTTCACTCTACTATCTTTTCACAGAGCCTTACTTCTTACTGCACCTGAAATTATAATGTCTCCTTTGCTTCTGCCCCCAACTACTTTGCTCATCTCTCCCCATCATACTTGCCTGGCCAAATCTCAGTCCTGGTTAATTCAAAACTGCCTACTCAGTGCCTGCACATAAGCAACTGAAGATGGCTGGAGAAAAATGCACAACCATATTGATCGGTCTCACTATAAATTCATGACCACCCACTCAGGAGGGCCCTTAGTAGTGCCTGGAAACCTTACTTATGTTTCCCTAGTCAGTTCTCTCTCCCACACTCATAGACTACTATTTCATCTCTCTCCCTTCCTCTCAAATTCCCCCCTCCTTATTTTCAGTTAATAACCACTTTAGCTAGAGCTGGTTAAACTGCTATAACAAATAGACCGAATTTATATCTTGCTTACATAATAATCCAGAGTGGGTTTCCCAGGGCAGTGGACAGCTGCTCTCCTTCATCCAGGCACCTTCTTTCTTGTGGCTCTCTCAGTCTTGGGGGTTTGTTGTCACCTGCATAATCCAGCTGGCAGAAAGGAAAAATGCATGAAGCCACACTGGCCTCGCAATGACAGACATCATTTCTGTTCACATTCCACTAGCAACAATTTAATGCTTTAACATACCTAACTGAAAGAGAGGCTGAAAACAAACAAACAAACAAACAAAACAGTCTGTGTGCCCAGGAAGCGGAGGAGAATACATTGTGATGGACAGTTAGCAATCTCCCAAATGATCTTGCTTCCTATTTCACCGAGAAAATAGAAGCAACTAGAAAAGAACTTCCACTTTGTTCTACTATCAACTCCACAAGCCTACTTCAATATGTTCTATATACGTGGGCACTAGGGGTGGGGGTTGGATTCCTAGGCTGTCCCTGATCACAAACGGGCAGTTTCCAAGCTCTCAATTAGAACATGGTCATAATGACCACCCACCTAACCACAAAATTCAAACATATCTTCTTTCCTTGCACTTTTTAACAGCTGTGGTTTAGGATATTTTTGATCAATACTCCTTCCTGCCCCTGCCTTTGTGAATCCCCAATTTACCTTGACTTGGATGTATTGCATTGCCTTGGTTCTCTCACTTCCTCCTCCCTCTTTCTTTGCTGGCTTCTCTCATCTAGATTAGAATCCTTTTTTTTTTTTTTAATAAAATTTTATTTATTGTTGACACTGGCTTCTCTCATCTAGGTCAGAGCTTCTCAAACTTTAATATGATACAAAGCACGTGGGGTTCTTATTAAATTGATGATGCCAATTCAGCAGGTCTAGGGCGGGGAAGGCTGAGATTTCACCTTTCTAATAAACTCCTTGGTGATACCAATGCCTCTGGTTATTGGCCACACTTTGAGTAGCAAGGTTCTAAAGAGGATGTTCTCCAAGATTCTGGCCTTTGCTTTTTTCTTTTCTTTCACAGCAGTATCACTGCTAGCCTGATAAGTTTTCCAGTCCGTTTTCTAGTTCAATCCTTTTTTCCACATATTTTAAAACCTTTATGTCTAACTTCTCAGTATCCACCTCTATCTGGCTGTCTTGACAACCTTTCAAACCTTTAAAATGGCCAAATCTAAACTGATCTCTTAAAAAGCAGTTTCTACTCCTATCTCTAATTGTCTTTTCTATATTCTATAATTATCTACAAACTCAAAACTCTTCACTATCTTTGATTTTTTCTCTTCCTCCTTTATACATGTTCTTATGCTATCTCCTCTTGCTGTAAATTCAATTGACCAATTGCCAAATTCTGTAGATTCTCCTTCTGTATCATCTTTAAACCATTGCTCTTTTAAATCCCTCCTGCCTTGCCTTTAGTTCAGACTCATCATTACTTTTCACTTTGCTTACTGCAGGTCTATCTGGCAGTTTTCCCACCTCTAATTTCTGTATACATTCACAGATCAAAGAAAAGCTGTGCTTTTCTTCCCCCAAACTTTAAACCACAAAAACTAAAAATTCTGAATTAAATACAAATTCTTCTACTTGTCATCCCAGGCCCTGTTCTCCTTTGTCTCCACCACTTCTCAACACGTGGAGAATCTTACCATTTGCTTTTCCCTGAACACTTTCATTAAGTCACCTTCATATGTTCTCAAACTCTTTTCTTGCTCTAAAACCTTCGTCATCTTTTCCACGGTCAATTCCAAAGGCCTTCTCCATACTGCCTTTCTTTCCTGATCCCTCAGACAGATATGAGCAGTTCTTTGATCTTTTGCAGTACTCTGTATTTTTACATGGTACCTATCATGGTTTGTCTTTCATTGTGTGTTTTATCTTTGTTGTATTCCTTACTCTTTGAAGGAAAGGGTGACATCTTCAACTCCCCTCTGTACCCCTGCAGCATCTTACCTATTAGGGCGAGTGTGTCTCCCATTCGTTGAATCAAAGTGATTTAGGGAGACAATGTGATGCAATGGTAAGCAGCACAGAATTTGAAGTCAGTACAGCTAGATTCCAGCTCTGTCATTTATTAACGTGAGGCTTTAGGTAAGTCACTTAATTTGGCTTGTAAAATGAGAATATTACTATCTGATAGAGCAGCAAGGGAGGTAACGTGAAAGTGCTTTGTTAACTCCACAGAGAAATGAGCAATGTTCGTTATTTTCCTTACAGAGATCTGACGCAGTCTTGCTATTCAAAGCTTGATTTGCAGGACCATTCCTACTTCAATAATTGGCGAGGGAGACCCGAGTGGCGGGAGACCCGAGTGGCGGGGAACCGGGCCACCAGGTCCCACGGCCCTTTTCCACTCCAAGGCCCTCTAACTGCTCTCCGCGATGCAGGCGAAGCCGCCGAAGTGCGGGGAAACGGCCTGAAGTCCTGTTTTCTCGGGAGGCCTCCCTCCTTCCACCCGCTCTGGGAAAGCCCTTCTCTTCCCGGTCACCCCCAAGACCGCGGCGCCGCCGCCTACGCGAGACGTTTGGACCCTGCCCGGCCCCCGTAGCTCCCCTTCTCCAGCAGGTGGTTCTGGTCCTCTCCCCCGACTCCGGGCGCTCGCGTCACCGCCGAACCTCTACCCACGCGCCAGCGCCGCAACCAACCGAGAAAATAAACAAACCCCCGCGCGCGGCGGCCGGCGCGCCAGGCCCCGCCCCCGCCCCGCCCCGCGGCTCTCACGCCGCCCCCGCCGTCGGGACTTCCCTCCCGCCCTCGGCTTGCAGCCGCGCTCTCCCCGCCCCTCACCGCAGCCTGCAGCCGCGCTCCCCGCCGCGGTCCGCCCAGCCTGCCCGCCCGGCCCGGCGCCCCGGGGCCCGTTACTGCCCGGCGTCCGCTCTCGGGGCCCCGCGCGACCCCCGCCCGGCGCGAGCCGGACCCCGCCCCTTGACCCAGCCCAGTCCCAACGCCCCGGGCGGCCGCCCAGAGAGCCGCGGGAGTCGAGGCGGCGAGGGAGGAGGGAGAGGAGGGCCGAGCCAGCGACCAGGGAGGCCCGGTGAGTACGCGGAGGGCGGGCCCGTCTCGCGGGGGTCCCTTCCAGCGCCCCTGCGGAGGTAGCGGCGGCTCGGCCGCGCTGCGCTGTGCGCCCCGCCTCGGCGCTGCGGACCCGGCCTGAGGTAACGGGCCCCGCTGGCCGGAGCCGCAGGGCAGAGGGCGCGGGAGGGCCGCTCCTCGGGAAGGGCCGCGGCCCCGACGCTCGGCGCGGGCTCGGGGGCGGCGGGCGGAGACCCGCAGCGACCCCAGGCCCCGGGGCCGGCGCCGCGGCTACGCCTCCTCAGGTCCCGCCGGGGGCCGGGGGCGACCGCGCCGCCGCGCCGCCGAGTGACAGGTGCCGCCGCCCCCTCCCCGCCGCGGGCATCGCGCTCCCTCCCGGGGCGCCCGGCGCTCGGAAATTTCTGGAGCAGCGGTCTAACTCCTGTGTCCTCCCTTCCAGGTCGTGGAGCCGCTGCTCCGCCCGAGCTCGGAGTCGCCCAGCCCGGTTTCTCTGTCCGCGTACTTTGTGCGAGTAAGTTGCGAGCAGCGGTTAGCCTGGGGGTGCCTTCGGCTCTCCGCGAGGGAGGCGCCCGGGCTGTTTGGGGACCGCGCTGTCCTCGCCGCGAGCTGCGGGAAGGCAGCGGGGAGGTCACTGGGGTGCTTTTTATTTCTGTGCTTATTTTTTGCTGTTATTGTCCGGGACAAGCCGTCTCTCAGAATTTGGTGAGAGCTCCAGATTTTAGGGTGCTTAGCAGATGCTGAGCAGCCGTGACGGACTTGGCCTGTTAAATTGTCTTCGCTTTCCAGCTGCTTTGAGATTTTTTTCAGATTTTTATCTCGGCTTTCACAGTGGAGCAGAAGCCATGGCTTCCGTGAGCACTAGTGGAAGAGCGGCTTTCTCCGCTGAATGCCGGTGGGGGAACATTTTCCCCGCCATTCAGGGTGTCTGTTCAGGCAGTGCGTGTGCTCCTGGTTGTCACCTGCATCGTCGGTGTAATACAGCTGACTTGCGGCTACGAAGATTAGAGAAACTTTATGGCAAATTAAGATATTAAACATCTGCCCTGGCCGGTTTGGCCCAGCGCTTAGAGCGTCGGCCTGCGGTCCGGAGAGACCCGGGTTCGGTTCCCGCTAAGGGCGCGGACCTGGGTTGCAGTTTGTCCCTGGCCCTGGTCGGTCGTGCGGGTGGCAGCCACTCGATGTGTCCCTTCACGTCGATGTTTCTCTCTCTCTCTCTCTCTCTCTCCCTCCCACTCTGTCTGAACAAAAAATGAAAAAAATGTCCTCAGGTGAGGATAAAAAAAAAAAAAGATATTAAAAATCTTCCATCTTCAGAAATATAGGGTTGGTTTGTTTTTTTTCCATCGACAGATTTATAACCCTATAGTTAGCATTAGTCAAACCCGAATCAATGGAAGGTAGTCTTGCTTGTCATAAATGGTTACAACAGATTTATCTGTGCCACACCAGAAAGTGGCTTCACTCTGTGGACTAAAAACAAGGACCTACAAGGTGGGGCGAATGGAAATACATGTGCTTTATTGATGGGGGAATCCCTTGGGTCCTTAGTGCCTGTTTGTACTTTTTGCTTAGCTTTTTCAGCCCACAGAAATTAGGTGCTGCAAATTGGAAAGGGGAAACGATATTTATGAAGAAGATACAGAATTTAAGGCACACACATTAAGTTTATGTGGTTTGTTTGCAATAATTGTGTTGGGAACACAGTTTTGGTATACATGTGGTGCTTGCTGGTTGTGAACCTTAATTTATAAGAAGCTAAAGTGAAAGATATTGTTTAGTTGTGCTATTTAAGGAACAGAACATGAAATAATACAAATTTAAAAATGTCACTAGGTATTAAATCATTGATGCTCAATGCCATTTCATTTTAGGCTGTTTTGTACAATTGTAAGTTAAAATTTAGTGAGGTCACATTAATCGGGCTAACTGGTCGATGGTGTTAATGGAAGATGATGGTCATTTATTTTATAGAAGGGAATAAATATGATTGTCTTTGATTGAGGGTTTTATATACACAGCAGTTTTGAAGTGCCCTAATTGTGGTTCCCTGGGATGAAGTATGACCACAACTATTATCTCTCGAGAGGTCATAGCCTAGAGGGATGAGGTCATAGTGGCAGTGGTCCTCAGAACCTTGGCAGAGACCAGTAGTACCAGTAGGATTTTTGAAATCCCACTATTTGCAGTTTAGGCTGTTCATTTTTAGAAATAGTTTATTTTAAGCACCTGATATAGCCTCATTCTTTTAAATCAACACTTTAAAACCAATTATGTTTTCCCGAACAAATATGTTTTCTAAACAAAATTAGTTGTGGTGATGATCATTTAGTAGAATGGCACTTAAATCGAAACAACTTTGAACTGCTAATACAGTAATCTTGAATTCACATTTGTATTATAGGAATTGGAGATTATCTGTAGAGCGTTTTGCAATTTCTTTTGCTGTCCATTTTACTTTAGAACACATCTTTCAATACATGTTGTATGGTTTTGTACTTGGGGAATGTAAGTTTTTAAAAAAAATCCAAATTTGCAGTATTTGTTAGGGATTAAAAAGAAGAGGTCCTTTCTCTTCAGGATGTTGAAATCGATTGCAGGGGGCTAGGCACAATAGTAAACATAATTTTAAATGAATCCATTCAATAATAAAAGTAAACAAAGTACAGAAATATTAACAGAGGACAGGATGATTAATTTGAGGGGTAGGTCAAAGAAAGCTTCATAGAAATCCTAGCACGTGAGCAGATTTTGAAGAATAAATACAGGTTTTAAGTGGAAGAGATAGAGGGCATTTTAGGCAAAGGGAGTATCATAAAGATATGAACAAGTTAAACTAAATGTGTGTTCAGGAAATTATAGGTAGCTTTGCTGGAGCAAAATCTGAGGAAGGATAGTTGTTATAAAAAGCCCTAACGTATGCTATAATTGATAAGTCAAGTAATTGATGTATTGAGTATATGTAAAATGGAGACTTCCCTGTAATTTCACATTGCTGTGATGTCAAGTATAGGGGAGTTAATTTTTTACTAATAATAGTAAGAAATTATTAAATATTACACTTATATGTAATGAGCTACCTGCATATTTGTATTTGTAAACTTACTTGTTTCATGTGCATTTTGACCGGAACCATTTATTTTTTTATTATCTTGTGAATTTTGTCTTTCAACTACTTAAGTTAGCCTTGAAGTTATTTTTAAAAGGAGACGCAAAGGGAAGAGGGGAAACATGAGAAATAATCATTAGATTTCTGGACTAAGGCCTAATTAATGTAGTATTTTAGTATTATGTAAATGTCTGTTGTATTTATAGCACTAGTCACTACATTCAGAAACTGACCGATGTAGGTAGCTTAGGGGATGTCCACTGCACTTAATTTTTGCATTTTATACCTTAATTAAGTCCACATTGTTTAAATATATGTAAACGTCAGAGATATTAAAGACTACGAGAAAGAGGAGAATAGTAGGGGGAGGGAGAAGAGCTCTATTTGAATCTATGTATTCTAATGTCCCTTAAATGTGACTGTAGATGGAGATGCAGGAGTTTTAGGACACAAGATGGAAGGAATATTAACCCTAGCCATGCCCTGAGGTATCTTTAAAAAGCCTGATATTGTCATAGTCTGCCTGTTTATTCCTTTTTCTCTTCAGAGTTTAAAAACATGAATTCCTGGATTGTATAACATAAATATTTTTTGCAAATTCTGAAAAATGTGTTAATGAAGGTAATGTTCTCATAAAAACATACAACATAATCTGTCTTTGACAGTTTTTCTCTGTCATTTGTGCAGTTGCCCTTTCTAAGTTTGACATGGCAGAAAAATCAGTATTGCATTGATTATATCATGTTTACCTTTTAGAATTTGTGTGTAGATGACTATTTTTCTTTCTTTCTTTTTTTTATCCTCACCTGAGGACATTTTTTGCATTTATCTTCAGATACAGCGCGAGGGGGAGAGGGAGGAAGAAAGAGAGAGAAACATCGACGTGAGAGAGACACATCAACTGGTTGCCATCCGGGGTGCAACTGAGGTATGTGCCCTTAGCGGGAACCGAAATGAACCTAGGCCTCTCTTGTCCACGGGCCATCTCTCTAACCGCTGAGCCTAACTGGCCAGGGCTATTTTCCCTTTTCAAGATGAGATATTTTTTATATAGAAGAAATATGGTTCTTATAGAATATTTGGGTAAATAGTAAAAATTATAGAAAGGAAAATAAGCATAATGAGTAGTCCCATGCATTTTTTCTTTTTGGTATGTATATACACATGTACAGACTGGGGATTATTACATTTTTATTCCCTTTTTAACTTAAACTTTACATTTCTCTCTTTCACTTACGAAGTACTGGTTAGTGTACCTTTTGATCTGGTACATAGATTTCTCTAATGGCTATTGAGATAATGTCTTGGCTATTTATCATGTGCAGCATGTAGCACAATGTTTGAGCCCTTCCAGTTGTCCTACCTCTTACTCCTTCAGCTGCTAAATAGAGCTGTTCTTTAATACTTACTGTTATTTAAAATATAGTGCAAGTGGCTGTCACTATTCTGTTCTCCTTTTTTGTACTCCTACTACTGACCAAACAAGGGATCATTATAAGTGAGCATTTCCCCCCCTTTTTTTTTTTTTTTATCCTCACCCGAGGACATTTTTTGTCCAGGTAGAGTGGGAGAGAGAGAGAGAGAGAGAGAGAGAGAGAAACATCAATGTGAAAGGGACACATCGAGTGGCTGTGGCTGCCACCCGCACGACCGATGAGGGCCGGGGACAAACTGCAACCAAGGTACATGCCCTTAGCGGGAACCGAACCCGGGTCTCTCGGGACCGCAGGCTGATGCTCTAACCGCTGAGCCAAACCGGCCAGGGCCATTTCCCCCTTTTCATTCTATCTTTTCATGAGTTAAAAGTATATTTTTTAAAATTATTTTTTGTTAATCCTTACCTGAGGATATTTTTCCACTGATTTTTTTTTAGATAGAATGAAAAGGAGGGAGGGAGAGAGAAACATCAGTGTGAAAGAGACACATCTGGTTGCCTTGCACATATCCCTTGACCAGAATCAAACCTGCAACCCTTTGGTCTGCGGGCCAATGCTCTAATCACTGGGCCAAACAGGCCAGGGTGAGTATTTTATTTTAATACACGGGTTGCTGAGGTATAGCATAGATAGCTGCCTCCTCAGAAAAATTATTATTTTGTCTTGTCTTTTGAGTGTTTATTATTATTTTCTCAATTTAACAGTATTTGTTCTAATGTTTTCTTTTCACTTTATCTTTCTGTCTTTTATTATTATTTTTATTCATTTGAGAAATATTTATTGTTTTTCTATTGTATGCCCCTTGGGTTTTAGGTAGATTGGTGTTTTCCTCCTGCAGTATATTAGGTATAATCTTTAGGTCTTTGACTCTTCAGTGACTTACTGCTCAACACCTACTTCTCAGTGCCTAACACTTTTTTTTTTTCATTTCAAAGATTAAAGCCTTAGCTTTTAGAATGGCCAGATGTTGATTTTGCAATGGAGTCAGACATGCTTAGCCAAATTTTTAAATTGTGCCAATTCTCCTATGTCTGATAGGACTGCAAGACACATTTCAGTTAATAATTATAGTAAGAATACCAGTAGATGTTTATATTTGAGTGCTTCTGCTGTACTGGCTACTGTTCTGTTAATGTACGGAAATTACATTAACTTAATTTTTTTTTTTTTTTTAATTCTCACCTGATGATATTTTTCTATTGATTTTCAGATAGAGTGGGAGGGAGAAAGAGAAAGGAACATCAATTTGAGAGAGACACATTGATTGGTTGCCTCATACACGACCCTGACCAGGACCAGGATCAAACCGCAACTGAGGTTTGCCCTTGACTGGAATCGAGCCTGTGACTCTTTAGTCCGCGGGCCGGTGCTCTATCCTCTGAGCCAAATCAGCCAGGGCAACTTATTTAATCTTAACAACTCAGTTAGCTGGGCACTCTTGTCCCAGTTTCACAGAAGGAAACACAGATAGGTGATACAGGGGCTCACAGTAAGCAGAAAGTTAGGTTTGCCCAGGCATTCTTGCTCCAGGGTCAGCACCCTTGTCTAGTACTTTTGTACTGACTTCTGCATTATTAACATAAAGGACCACAGATATCCCACTGTCCCCAAACTGGGAGGAAATCTATAGTGTCTGTATAGAACGGGTTGGGGAAAAGTGTGTTACATTTTTTTATTAGTATATCATTAGGATAGTTAAAATATATTAGAAAAGTACTAAATGTTGAATTTATTAAAAACTTCAGAATCATATCAGAGTTTTCAGTGAGTAAATTGTACTTGCTTCTGCGAGCATAAATTTTTCAGTAAAATGTATCCATGATATAAGAATATAAAATTCCTTATCTAGACATTTTTATTTATTTATTTTTTAAATCTTCACCCGAGGATCTGTTTCTTGATTTTAGAGAGAGGAAGGGGGGGGGGGGAGAGAGAGAAAAAACATCTCTATGAAAGAGAAACATCGATCAATTGCCTCCTGTATGTGCCCTGACCAGGGATTGAACTCAACACCTAGATATGTGCCCTGACTGGGAATTGAACCTGCATCCTTTTAGGTTTCCGAGATGATGCTCCAACCAACTGTGCCACCTAGCTGGGGCCCTGATTCAGACTTTTAAGTGATGTTTTCTTCAAAATGAGTTTCCATTGAAGTTTTGTTTGGATGGTTGGGCAATAAAAAGAAACCATTTTGTTGTATAAGCATTCAGTAGTTTATAACAATTGAAATTATTTTTAAAGAACCTAAAATCTTATCCAAATTTAATAATATAAAATTTCCTGTGATATAATGAATGGAGTTCAGATTCAGATGGACTTGCTTTTAAGTTCTAATTTACAGAAAGCATATACATAGAGCAGTCACCTTGCAGCTAAATTTTATGCCATTAAAAAGGCAGGTCACTAGCAAGTAGAGGGAAATGTCTGCTATTTGTGACTGGAGATTTCAGGCTATTGCTTAGAACCTTGTTCACTAAAAGATTTTATGCTTCCCTACTCCTGACAGCAGTTGCTGCTCCCTAATACCTTGTGTTTTGGGCACCTACAATACACTCTTCCAACAGTTCCAATACCTTGTGTACCATAATGGGCAACGGTACATTCTGTAGCTGTCTGAGGAAGTAGATTTCCAGGGGCTTGAGTACTTCCCTTGTCACAGTTGACAACTATGGAGCAGCATATACATTGAGTTGTCCTCTGGGGAGCATCAGATAAGGCTGCTTGCGTCTTGTGGTGACTGGCCCAGAGTCTCTGCATTCTCTAGGGTTTTCTTGATTGCTCCAAGGGCAAAGGGAAACTTTATCTGAGGATGCACTGGTAAGGAAGCTCTGCCCTGTGCCACAGAGAGAAAATAAGACTATAGGAATAAAGTCTGTGTTTCAAAGACTCACGACTGTAAACCTACTTTTGCCCCATCCTGTATTCATCACAGGTTAGTAAGGAGACTTTGTTCATTGTGGTTTCAGACTCCATCAGACCTGACTAATGGAGACTCTGTCTCAACATATGCTCCTCAATCACAGAATCAGGGAAAAGAACACAGTGAACCAACTTCTGGCTTTTAAAGCTTTTTAAAGCTTGTGTTTCACTGGCCAAAGTCAGTCACATGGTCATGCTTGCATTCAGCAGAAGAATGATAAATAATTTTTCTTTAGGAAATATTTGTGAACAACTACCACATGCAATTTATAGTCCCAACAGTTAAATATAATAATAGTTGTTGAACCAACTTTGTTGGATTATTGTACCTAAAGTGTTCAAAGCAACTAAAAACTACATGACATGGTTTTTAGCATGACATGTTGAAGCAGAATTAATGTTTTTTTATAATATTTCTGAGTCTGGAATTTCTGTTTAATTTTGTAATATTTTTTCCCTTGTAATAACTTTTTAAAAAATTAAATTATCATGCTTGCAGGAACGATTTAAGCCTAAAAATACGTCATAATTTATCAGTATGATAAAATTTCTGTATGTTGTTGTATTTTTATCTTGATTTGTATATTTCTGAGCATAAAAACAATAGGTCTTAAGATGGTATTATAATAATACTTTTGATTTAATAACTACTAGATGATATCTTCAAGTATTAGCCCTTATTTTGATTTTCTTCATTTGTTTAACAAAAAAATTGAAAGATTTTCATATAATTTTTTGGATTCTTAGGTTAAGATAAAAGATTGAACACATGCATTTTTGTTCTCTACTGAAAACATACAAATTATAGTGTGCTTTTAGCTTTCAAAGTAGACCTTAATTATTCCCACTTCTTAGTATTCACACTTTTGCATAGTTCCTTTCCACACTGACTAGGGTGTACCCATGTAAACATTATAGAAATGACAGTAGCTTGTTTAGATATGAGCACTGTGACTTGAGGCAGACGAAACTGTAAAGAAAAACAAAGGAATAAGTAATTAAAAAATCAGTATAATAGTTATCTCTGGACAGAGGTGCTTGGGGAGATGTATTGGGGAAAGACATGAGTTTTTATTCTGTTAATTTTATTTTTATTATTTTTATTTATTTTTTATCCTCATCTGAGGACATTTTCCATTTTTTTGTTCAGGTAGAGTGGGAGGGAGAGAGAGGAAGAGAGAGAGAGAGAGAGAAACATTGACGTGAAAGGGACACATTGAGTGGCTGCCACCAGCACGACCAACCAGGGCTGGGGACAGACCGCAACCGAAGTACGGGCCCTTAGTGGGAACCGAACCTGGGTCTCTCTGGACCGCAGGCCGACGCCCTAACCACTGAGCCAAACCGGCCAGGGTTGTTCTGTTAATTTTAGACTATTAGGTACTTGCAAGTCTTCATTTTTTTTAAACTTAATATTTTATTTGGTTGTGTACCTGCTACTTTAGAATAGAAATGAACAGATTTCTGAATTTCACAATTTCTTAAGAAAATCTGTTTCCTTTTAAATTGAAAGAATATTTACACTTCTTTCTGAGTAGTTACAAAGCTTTTTACTTTGACTTTTCTGAATCAGGTTCAGCATATCTAGGTTCAGGTCCTGACTTTCCCACTAACTTGTGTAATGGCCTTAGGCAAGTCATTTAGTCAGACTAAGCGCCAGTTGCCTCATCTATAAAGCTAAAAAATTTGAATTAGAAATTACTTTAGGATTTAAAATATCCTATCTAAGACTAAAAGGTTCTTAAAAAACTGAAAATACACTAAATGAAACCACTCCTACCTGTGCCTGGGAATGGTAGGGTGCACTGGGGCTAGTGAACTAAAAGATAACGTGGAAGGTAATTTTGAAGTTTTCTTTGAGGGAATTTAAATTCTCTTTTTGCTCTCAGTTCTGTGACTTAGTAGCAGTCGCCAGGATCAATCAGGGCAGCATTTTGTATAAGACTGTTTTTCCATTTTTATTCCTTTTTCCTACTTTGGAAGTTGGGGATAAACATATACCTTTATATTTTAAATCACATTGATTTAGGATGTTCTCTATAAATATGTATATATTATAGCAGTATATTTAAAAGAAAGGCCCTGGCCGGTGTGGCTCAGCGGTTAGAGCATCGGCCTGCGGTCTGGAGAGACCCGGGTTCGGTTTCCGCTAAGGGCATGTACCTCGGTTGCAGTTTGTCGCCGGCCCTGGTTGGTTGTGCAGGTGGCAGCTACTCGATGTGTCCCTTTCACGTCGATGTTTCTCTCTCTCTCTTCCTCTCTCTCCCTCCCACTCTATCTGTACAAAAAATGGAAAAATGTCCTTGGGTGAGGATAAAAAAAAAAGAAAGAAAGAAAGGAAAACCATGAATTTTTGAAAACTGTATGTGGGAATATGAATACATTGTAGTCGTAATAGTCTTGCACTAATCTGTGAAATCTCAATATATTATTTTTCTATTTTCTATTATACAATTTTATGTTGTCTTTAAGTTAAAAAGTATGTTATTGCCCATAGAACTGTGGATAGGAATCCAAATATTACTAAGTCCCATGTCTGGAGAAATGTGTGTATATAATAATTTGTTATTACTCTAGAATCTTGAAGAAATTTTACAGAGTATGTTTATTCACCTGCCTCTTTTTCTCCCTCCACAGGAATTATTCTTGACAGAAGTATTTTTAAAGAAAAAATATTTACAATGGCCTCAGCAGTTCTTAGTTCTGTTCCTACTACTGCTTCTCGTTTTGCCCTTTTGCAAGTGGATAGTGGCAGTGGCTCTGATTCTGAGCCTGGAAAAGGCAAAGGTCGGAATACTGGAAAGTCTCAAACAAGCAAATCAACTACAAATGAGAAAAAGAGAGAGAAAAGAAGAAAAAAAAAGGAACAGCAACAGAGTGAAGCAAATGAGGTAACAATTGTAATTATTTGTGTTTGGTTTCCCAATATACTAAGACTGAAAGTAAGCATCATGAAGACAGGTACTATCTTGTTTACTCATGTATCCATAGTACATGGTTCATAGGTACTTGGTAAATATTACATGAATAAGTGGATGTAAATTGGTGTGTATTTAAAGTCAATGTAATGAACATTTTTTGTTTTTAATTTAATTCAGTTTTTTCCATCACCGTTTATCCCCCCTATACTACTCTCTTCCACCTCTACCCACACCCCCTCCCACTCACCCCACAATCACCACACTGTTGTTTGTGTCCATTAGTTTGAGTTCTTTTTGCTCAATCCCTTCATCTTCTCTGCCTCCCTTCACTCCCCAGAACTGTCAGCCTGCTCTCCATGAGTCTGTCTCTATTTTGCTTGTTAGTTCATTTTAATGTAAAGAACATTTTTAAAATGCCTTTTATTTTTCTAACTATGGAAGCTTATGTGCTCATTCCAAAAAGTAAGGAAGTCTTAAAAGGAAATAAAGGCCATTTGTAAATATAACTAGAGATATATAACTAATAGATATGTAAATACACATATATGTATATTCATATTTTACTTAAAAATGAGATTATATAATAGACTTTTATACTGGTTTTTTTCCTAATTAGCCATGAGCAGTTTTCCTTATGATTAATTAAAGTTCTATGTTATTTTAAATGACTCCACGCGATTTATTAATTTTCTTGTTAATCCTCACCAGAGAATTTTTTTTTTCCATTGATTTGTAGAGAGTGGAAAAGCGGGGGAGAGAGAAACATTGATGTGAGAGAGAGACATTGATTGGTTGCCTCAGCAAGTGCCCAGCCAGGGCCAGGATTGAACCTGCAATCCAGGTACATGCCCTTGACTGAGAATGGAACCCGAGACCCTCTGGTTCACAGGCTGCACAGGCTTAACCACTGAGCCATGTGGCCAGAGCTTTTTTTAATTATTAATTTTTCTTGTTAATCCTCACTTGAGAATATCTTTTTTTCCATTGATTTGTAGAAAGAGTAGAAGTGTGTGGAGGGCAGAGAGAGGGAGAGAGGAGAGAGAGAGAAACATCGATATGAGAGACATCGATATGAGATATTGCACATTATTTAATTATATGGCTATATCATACTTTGTTTAATTGGACCCTTGTGATAAATATTTACGTTGTTTCTCATTTTTTTAAAACTATTTTAAACAATAATCGTATGACTAGTCTGAAAACATACGTTTTTATGCATTTGATGATCATTTTTTTTTTTTAGGGTAATAAGTACAAGGCAGGCCCCTCTTCCCTAGACATTCTTAGCTTGAGTTACATGACCAATATTTAATGTGCCCATTTGTTTTTAAAAGGACATGCTGAAAAACAACTCTCCATTGATTTAGAAAGGGTGAAAGGGAAGAAGGAAAAGGGAGAGAGAGGGAGGGAAGGGAGGGAGAGAGAAACATCAATGTGAGAGAAACACATCGACTAGTTGCCTCTTGTACATGCCCTGACCTGGGCTGGGAATCGAACCTGCAACCCAGGTACATGCCCTTGATCGGGAGTTGAACCTGCAACCCTTTGGTGTGTGGGCCAATGCTCTAACCATTGAGCAACACTGGTCAGGGCTGTATTTGTCTTAATAGAAGGAGTAGTCGGGTATATAAGAACATTTTTCAATGTCATTTAATGAGAGAAGTAATAAAAGTGTTTTTTTCCTCCCCATATTCATTTTCTAATGTACCAAGACTTAGGAAAAAAGCCTTTTCAATTTGTTTCTATTACATTTTTATCACCATTGCTTTCTAAATAGCTCTTTAAAATACTGCCACACATGCCCTGGCCAGTTTGGCTCAGCGGTTAGAGCGTTGGCCTGCGGTCCAGAGAGACCCGGGTTTGGTTCCCGCTAAGAGCACATACCTCGGTTGCAGTTCATCCCCAGCCCAGGTTGGGTTGTGCGGGTGGCAACCACTCGATGTGTCCTTTTCACGTTGATGTTTCTCTCTCTCCCCCTCCCACTCTATCTGAACAAAATATGGGGGGAAAAAAATAAAATACTGCCACACAGAAAACAACTTTAAAGACAAGATATTTTTCCCACCATAGATCTTTTCAGAAGTCTAGTCTTTCAGAACTTTTGATTGCCCACCACTTTCTTTTTAGAATTAATGATGATGTGGGGGAACAGAAAATAAGATAATAATGGAGTTTACATTAGAGAATAAAAAAGTGGGTAACTGAGAATGAGCCTGAGGATTCTCCCTTTCTACTTCCATGGCTGTAGTTCTATCAGTTTTCACTTTCTGTAAAGTAACAGCCTGCTTGCCAGTAGCATCTCCTCCTGTATGTCCTTTGCACAGCAGAAACCAGCTACTTAAGGAGATGTTTGTATCACTGCCTTTTGCAGAACCATATGATTATTCATTAAAATTGTTGTTTCTCGATTTAAAGCCTCTTTTATTAGTTTCCCTACGGCTGTCATTGCAAAGTACCACAAACTACGTGGCTTAAAACAAATTTATTCTCCAGTTGGTTCTTGAGGCTGAAAGTCCAAACCATGGTGTCAAAAAGGGCCATATTCTCCTTGAGACTCAAAGTATGTCCTTTCTTGACTCTTTCTACCTTGTGGTGGCCTTCAATCCTTGGCTTGCAGCTGCATCACTCCCATCTTTGCCTTTTGTTACTTGCTTGGCATTCTCTTTGTGTATCTTTGTCTTCGCCTCTTATACGGAAACAAGTCATATTGGATTAGGACATACCCTAATTCACTATGACTTCATCTTACCTTGATTATACCTGCAAAGACCCTATTTCCAAATAAGGTCACATTCACAGACACCAAGGGTTAGGGCTATCTTTTGGGGAAATACAATTCAATCTATAACACCCTCTCAATATTTTTCTCTCTTGTTTCACTTTCTGCATCTCAGGTTATTCTTGTTGTTGGGAAGTGGCTTAGCCAATACAGTTTTAGTTCATTATGTTCTTTTGAGGACTAGCCCCTGTATTTTTCAGGACTAGCAAAGTAGTTGCTAGAATTGCATAAACTATCTTTTCTCACTATTTAAACTTTTAAATTTGTAAGCTATTAAACTTTAATCTTTTTGAGTCCTATTGTTTTGCATTTTAAAAGCATACTTACCCGCCCTGGCCGGTTTGGCTCAGCGGTTAGAGCGTCGCCCTGCGGTCCGGAGAGACCCGGGTTCGGTTCCCGCTAGGGGCGCGTACCTTGGTTGCAGTTTGTCCCAGCCCTGGTTGGGTTGTGTGGGTGGCAGCCACTCGATGTGTCGCTTTCACGTCGATGTTTTTCTCTCTCTCTCTCCCTCTCACTCTATCTGAACAAAATATCGAAAAATGTCCTCGGGTGAGGATACAAAAAAACTAAAAAATAAAAGCATACTTACCCAATTTTCTACTCCTTAGTAAAGGAGAATCTTCAAAATGATGGTATAATAGAGTACAATCTATTTTTACTTATTAATCATTTCATCTAGAAATCTACCAACAATTTTCTCAAATACTGGTGAAATTAATATTCTACAAAGATTACAAAAAACACAAATAGTGTGTTTAGAAGTGTAAAATTATTGTTGATTTCTTAACTTCCAAAAAATCATTAGTATTTCAGGATTGGTAAACTGAATTTAATATATTCTTTGTTTGTTTCATAGCTCAGGAATCTTGCTTTTAAGAAAATTCCCCAGAAATCCTCCCATGCTACTTGTAATGCCCAACATGAGCTTTCTTTACCAAATCCAGTACAGAAGAATTCACGAGAAGAAAATTGGCAAGAGTGGAGACAAAGAGATGAGCAGGTACAGCTAAGTAAATCAAATTATTTTGCTTTGATTTTCAATGAATGTATGAATTTTAAAGATGGCAGTGCATCTGAGTCTGTGACACTGCTGTCCTGAGAAGCTTTTTGTATTGGATTAATTCATATGTGTTTGCTATTTTTAAGAGGTCTGTTTTTGTGTACTAGAAAAACAGATTGAAACCTTTATTGTTAGTTTTGACAATTCAAAACAGTTATTTTGGGAGTTTTTTTTTTTTTTTTAATCCTCACCTGAGGACATTTTTGTTTGTTTGTTTGTGTTTTTTTGTTCAGTTAGAGTGAGAGGGAGAGAGAGAGACAGAGAGAGAAACATTGACATGAAAGGGACACATCGAGTGGATGCCACCCGCATGACCCAGCTAGGGCCAGGGACAAACTGCAACCGAGGTACGTGCCCTTAGCGGGAACCGAACCTGGGTCTCTCTGGACCGCAGGCTGACACTCTAACCGCTGAGCCAAACCGGCCAGGGCTATTTTGGGAGTTTTTAATTCACCTGCTCTTTCTTTCTTTTTTTTAACAAATGAGGGAGAGATAGGGAAGGTAGAACAACAAGATTAAATTATTTCAAGTAAGAAAATTACATTTATAGGGCCAGAGGTTTCATGTTAAAAATACCGAGTGACAGTTTTGCCTAAAAAAGGAAAGACTTTGAGGGGAAACTTCTCCTTTTCAACCTTTATGTAAAATGGTTTATGGCATTTGTTTGTTTCTTTAACTTATTTACTTGATATTTTGTTCGTCTATGCCTCTGTTAAATATTTTTAATAACCAAATCAAATAATTTATTAAGACCAATTTATTTTTGTGTGTTTGGTGTCCAAGAAAATAACATCTTGAGCTGAGAATGTACTCTGGGAGCTGCTGTGTGTATGGGAAATGAACAGTTACTTGTTTGTTTACCTGTTAAACTGTCATTTGATTTACTGGGAATAGGTATTGCTTTAGCAGATTTTTGGCTCAATAAAGTGGCTGTACCTGTCATGCTTGGGTTATTAGTTTAAAAAGAATTAGGCTATACTAAACTATGCTCTTAACATAAACCATGTTAATCATAACATTTTCTTTAGGATTTTGTAGTGCCTCAGGTTCATTATGAACGTTAGTTATTACACTAGAACTAACAAAAGTGCTGTTCAGAAGACATTTCCACATACTGGTATACTGGATAAATTATCTTGTATTATTCTAGGGGTTTTATTTTATTCTTTTTTTCTCCTTCCCCAGCATTATTCTGGTTTACAAATGTAAATGTAAATGTAATGATCTGTTTGTTAACAGTGTCTTCTCCAGAGAGAATTTCTCCCAGTGGCCCAAGGGTACTGGAAAATTAACAAAGGAAAATTATTCAAATTTGCACCAAATAAACTCTGTGTAATATGGGAACTTGAGCACAGATATTTGCTTGCCTCCCCACCCCCCCAACTGATTGTTGCCAAAATGACATGTTAATTATAGAAAATAAATAGTTGACTTGGCCCTGACGCCATATAAGGACAGATGAATGGTATACCACATGGAATCTATTTTGCTGTGTAGAGTAATGGACTTTAAAAGTAGGGACCTGGCAGTGACTGTACTAGGCAGAAAGCATACAGTTATGGTGGGTGTTCTTTCTGGCATAGTAGGGAAACATCACAATGAGAAATTCCAGGTATTGAGGGCTCAGTAAGACAAAAAACTGGATATAGATATGTTGCCTGTTATGTGACGGCTTAGTTCAAACATAAAAGAGAAATTAGGTTAAAACAACATTTCCTACTCCTAAATTATCAAAGTGATAATGTAAATTTATGTCAGCTAAGCCTCAGCATAAAATCTGAGAACTGGCATTAAACAATAATCAGATAGACAGTAAAGAAACCATCCAGCCCACCTAAGCAAACACTAGATCTTAGTTGATCTTAGGTCAAATGAAAATTCCTGCCACATACAAAGAAAAGAACACTGTACTTAGTGACCAAAGTGAAAGCACACTTTGAAAGAGTTGCTACAGGGAACAGAAATTGATTTTAGTCCCCATTTTTTTCCTTTAATAAAAACTAAGGGTCTAGAAAATTTTGTAAAACTCGGGTGGGGATAGTGATGTTATATTTATAACAAGGTGAAACAGTAGACTGAGATGAAAAAGTAGCTAAGAGACAGAAATTGAAAGGGCGATGGGTAAAATAAAAAAATCTGGGAAATAAAAGTATAGCAGAATTAAAAACTTCATTGGAAAGATTAAAGAACCAGAGTATACACTGAAGACAATTGAGTCAATTGTGTGAAGGAAAATTTGAGATACATCTTTATTTTTAATTTATTTTTGTTACAGATGTTTCTCCTTTTTCCCCTGTTGGCACCCTCCTCCCGATCCCCCCTGTGCAGTCCACTGCATTGTTGTCTGTTTCCATGGTTTCACATACATGCATACAAGTTCTGTGGTATATCTCTTCCTGACCCCTCGACCTCCTATTTTGAGGTTTGTCAGTCTGTACCCTACTTCTGTGTCTCTGGGTCTGTTTTGTTGCTCAGCTTGTTTTGTTCACTATATTCCACAAATAAATGAGATGATGTGATATTTGTCTTTCTCTGATTGGCTCGTTTCGCTTAGGATAATATTCTCCAGGTCCCTCTATGTAATCTCAAAGGATAAGAGATCTTTCTTTCTTACAGCTGCATAGTATTCCACAGCTTTTTTATTCACTCATCTGTTGATGGACACTTGGGCTGTTTCCTGATGAGATACATTTGCCAATAAAATTGACAGTGATAGATTGGAACACAGAACTAAAATCCAGCAGAGGCATAATTAGTGTACCTGAAATAAGTGGAACAGAGGGACTCATTAAAGATAATGTTGATAAACATTTTTCTGAGCTAAAGACTTGAATCCAAACTTGAAAGAAGACCTCTGAAGCCTTTTTAAAAAATGTAAGCCCTGGCTAGTTTGCTCAGTGGTTAGAGCATCGGCCCATGGACCTAGGGGTCTTAGGTTCGATTCCTGGTCAAGGGCACATACCTGGGTTGCAGGTTCGATCTCCAGACCTGGTTGGGGGTCTTGCAGGAGGCAGCCAGTTGATGTGTCTCTCTCATCTCAATGTTTCTCTCCTCCCCCCTCCTACTTTATCTAAAAAATCAATGGAAGAACATCCACACACATAAAAATTTAATTTTAAGAATGAGAAAACAAGGAAATAATACTACAAGTATATGCACAAGAGAAAACAGGTTGCCTAATAAGGATGAAAAATTAGGTTGACTACTTTAAATGCCAGACTGGAAATGTTAGGACCCCGAATTCAGTATTTAGCTGAAATGTCATTTGTGTAACTACTAATGAAATACATTCTCAGAAATACATTTCTCATTTAAGGGCTTAGAAAGCATACCACACTATCCTTTTTGCAGAGTTTTTGGAGATGTGCTCCTGTCAATTAAAAGGCAAATCTAAATAAAGAACGCAGCAATTGGAAAGCACCAGTGGCGAGTATTGAAGCTAGTTCAGTATAGAATTAACTCTAAATAGTGATTGTAAATGTGGTTAATAAAGAGAACATAGCTGTATACCTGAAACTGATATAACTAATATAACATTGTATACCAACCGTACTTAAATAAAAAATTTTTAAAAAGGAAACAAGTTCATGAAAGAAATCTTTGTCTTATAAAATTGTTTTAAATCTGTAAATACCTGTGCTGAGGAAAAATGGAACATGGTCTCCTGGAAATTTTAGTGGATGCCTTGGTTTAAACAATCAGGAAATAGTAGAAAATAAAGAACCATACAGATTTATCTTCAGTCCTGATTTACTCAAAGGGACTATCACAGTAATGAAAATGACTTTGGTGTTTACATATTCAGGGTGGGGCAAAAGTAGATTTACAGTTGTGAGTACATGAAAGTTTATTCTTGTATTATTATTTGTTAATGTATTATTTTCCGTGCGAACTGTTATTATTTTCCACCTTTGCCCCACCCTGTGTATCCTTTAAGGACCAACTTAATTTAGCTTCTTTTCCAAAATATGCTTCTCTAAATTCTGTTTGTTATTTATCTTTTTTCCCTTGACTTTTTGTATTCTGTTTTCTGTACATCCTGTGTGTTAGTCTCCTGTCCCAAAAGGGAGTAGAAAAATTCTTTGAAGGCAAAACCAAATTCATGCTGCTTCTTTAAAGCCCCACAGGCAAAGCACATAGAAGTTTCTCTATAAGTCTTTATTGGCTGATTCATCATCCTTTGACATTTTGGGAAGATTTGTTTGAGTTTTCAAAGATTTAAATTGAATTAAAACATTTTTTTTTAATTGATTTTAGAGAGAGGGGAAGGTAGAGGGAGAGAGAGACGGAAACATCGATGAGAGAGAACACCGATTGGCCACCTCCTGCATGCCCCCCACTGGGGATTTGGCCCACAACCTGGGCATACGCCCTGACCGGACATTGAACCAGCAACCTCTTGGTGCATGAGTCGATGTTTAACCACTGAGCCACACTGGCTGGGCTAAATTGAATTTAAAATAATTTTTGCCTACTTTATTTCCTTGTATACTAGTTTGTGTCAATAATTAAAAGGCAATTTAAACTCTAAATTGCTACATTTAGAATCAAATTTTAGAGAGAACCATATTTTTCACTTTAAAAGTTCCATTGTGCCCTGGCCAGTGTTGCTTTGTGGTTAGAGAGCATTGGCTCAAGCACCAATGGGTCTCAGGTTCGATTCTCGGTCAAGGGCACGTACCTAGGTTCCAGATTCAAACCCTGGACTTGATCGGGGCACATGTGGGAGGCAATTGATGTGTCTCTTTTACATCAATATTTCTCTCTCTCTCTCTCCCCTCTTCCTCCCCCTTTCTTCCCTGCTCCCTTCCCTCACTTTCACTCTCTCTAAAAATCAGTGGAAAAAATATCGCCGGGTGAGGATTAACAAAAAAATAAAAATAAAAATAAAAGTTTCACTTATTTTTTATTATGCTATTAGACTCAGCAACCCTAATATCTAAGTTCTGTGAGTTAATATGAAAAAGAATAATGACATCTTGCATAATGACAACTTTCTAAGCTATTCTCCTGTTCACTAACTTTTTTTAGAATATTAGTCATAATATGTGACATATTGGAAATAAACTTAAATGCCCTTTCCATTAGTGTAAAAATGTCATTACTTCAAGCTTAGTGGTAAATTGAACCAGCTTTGTTCAGAATAAACTTAAGTAGTTTTGCTACTTTTCCTAGGTCAGGATGATTACTATGCTGTAATTATAGTCAGATTTTTTTTTACTAAGTTTGCTTTCAGTTTAGGTGGAGAAATTGATAGCAACTTTTTTTTTTTGGTGTGTAACACTAACATGAATCCAATTTTTTTGCTGTATAACTATATTGTCTTTGAATATCCACTTAAATAATTATTTAAAAGGTGAATATATTGCTTTTTCCTGATTATTAGTAATTTGGATTGAATGAATTACTTGATTCTTTTCAGTTATTCCATAGAAAAAGTATATACAGTTTATTCTGGGTTTAACAAGATTTTTTTGTGCTATGTACCCTTAACTCAAATTGTATTTTTCTCTGAGTTAGATTAATTTTTTTTCTGTGATAAACCTAATAATTTTCCCTCTTTTGTTGTCTTAGTATAGAATTAGATGAGATGCTTTCAAAGGACGTATTGATTAACATTTTTCTAGTTATCAAGGTATTAGTTTGAAATAGATCACACTTCTTTTTGGAGTTGGTTTCTGTTTTAGTTTATTTATTAAGCAACAAGCAATTCTGATTAACTTTGGAAAAATAATTTATTAAAAGGATTCTGGGTGACTTACAGATTTGAATTAAGAACTAAACAACTAGGCCTTAACAAAGATGGAAACTAAGGAATTCTGGGATGCATGGGGGCATGAACTAATAGAACTAGTACACTCATTTTTAGAGGGCTATCATCACATTATTGAATCCCACTTGCTTTTGTGTTCTCAAAATTTAATTTCTAGAAGATCAAAAAAGAGTTGGATCCCTTGCTCCTACCCTGTTGTTGGTAATGGTAGCTTGGACGTCTATGTGGATATGGTAGTGGGTGTTATATAGGATTATGTGGTTGGCTTTCTTGCTAGAATCATAGGACACTGGAATGAAGTATAATTACTCAAAGGAATAAAGGAAGGGATTCTGGATAGAAAAATCAAAGAGATGTCCATTATATTTATGCTTTTATTATCCAGGATACATAGGTTGATGAATACGTGCACACAGATTTAGGATGTTTACTTTTATCATATTGCAACTGTGCGATATTCAACTGCAGATATACCTTATCCCCAATGCTGAACTACCCAAAGTCCCATCCGACTATTGTAGCAGTTCTGTTTGGCATTTAGGAAAATTAATTCTTGGGGAGTTATTTAATTAGAGGGTGATGGAAGCTAGATTGTAAGAAGTTAAGGTGAGATTGCGTGGTGGGAAAGTGGAACCAAAAGATACAGATTACAGAAAATAATTTTGTTATAGTATTAGGTGACTTTAAAGGTAGGGCAACCATATAAAAGGAATAATAAAAGGATAGGAGTATTAAAGTAAAAGGATTATGTGATACACAATGAATTATTGACAATCAAAGGGGAAATGGAAATCTCAAAATTGGAAGTTTTTGCTTTGGTATCTTCTATATAATGCCGAGTTCCTTAATTTGCCATGGATAGATAACTTTGGAGGACCCAGACTGTTTTTTTTTTTTTTTATCCTCACCCAAGGATATTTTTCCATTTATCTTTGGATAGAGTGGAAGAGAGAGAGAGGAAGAGAGAAACATTGATGTGAGAGAGAGACACACATCGACTGTCTGCCTCTCACATGACCCCAACCAGGGTTGGAGACGAACCGCTACCAAAGTATGTGCCCTTGACTGGAATTGAACCTGTGAATCATTGGTCTGTGGGCCAACGCTGTATGCTGAGCCAAATCGGCCAGCATGGTCCAGACTGCTTTTTTTTTTTTTTACCTTTGTAACTTGATTTTTTTCAATCAAGGGAAATACATTCTAAATGACAAATATCTTTTAAGGAGCTGACTTGCCATTTTAACCTGTGATCTCTTTCATTGTACTTTTATGATGATGTTTTAGACATTAACTTTGAAAAATGTCTAAATTAAGCCTTCCTCTCCCTGCCTTTATTAAAATCAGACATGGAATTAAAAGCCTCATGAAAAATTTTGTCATCTTAAAAAATATTTGTTAACTATTTTCTGAGCTATTAGAATTTTAAAATCTATTTTATAATGTATTTGTCTTTTACCAGACTGTTTAAGTTTGTTTATTTATTTATTTATGTTTTAATCCTTACTCGATATTTTTCTATTTATCTTCAGACAGAGTGGGAGGGTGGGGGAGAAACATTGACGTTAGAGACACATCAACTGGTTGCTTCCTGCACGACCCTGACCAGGGCCAGGGATGAGCTGCAATCGAAGTACATGCCCTTGGCTGGAATTGAACCTGTGACTCATTGGTCCATGGGCTGACGCTCTGCTGCTGGGCCAAACTGGCCTGGGTGCCAGACTGTTTTTTAATGTATTTTTTTCTCCCTATGTTGTCATGGTTATTTTGCTGGTATAATGGTATAATGTTGTCATGTATTTATTGTGAACTTTTTTTTTTTAGCTGACATCTGAAATGTTTGAAGCAGATCTTGAGAAGGCATTGTTGCTAAGTAAATTAGAATATGAAGAACACAAAAAGGTATTTACACATTTATTCATTTAGCTTTATTAGGGTTACGTGGTAAAAAGTTAGGACCAACCTTCTTGAATTTTATATTATAAAGTTCTCTTTAAAGTTTGTCCTAAAATTTTATTATTGTAACAAAATATTATCATGCAGTTTTAATTTAATTTTATTATTATTATTATTATTTTGCATTTATCATCAGATAGAGCGGGAGGGGGAGAGAGAGAGAGAGAAACATCGATGTGAGAGAGGCACATCGAGTGGTCGCCACCCACATAACCCCAATGAGGGCTGGGGACAAACTGCAACTGAGGTATGTGCCCTTAGCGGGAACCGAACCTGGGACTCTCTGGTTCGTGGGCTGATGCTCTAACTGCTGAGCCAAACCAGCCAGAGCTATTTTATTATTTTTGAATCCTCACCTGAGGATACTTTTCCACTGATTCCTAGATAGAGTGGAAGAGAGGGAGGGAGAGAAAGAGATAGATAAACATGAGTGTGAAAAAAACACTGACCGCCTACCTCTCACAGGACCCCGACCGGGGCTGGGATCAAACCTGCAACCCAGGCACATGCCCTTGACTGGGAATTGAACCCAAGACCCTTTGGTCCATAGGTTAACACTTTAACTGCTGAGTCAAACTGGCCAGGACTTTTATTTTTTTTATTATTTACTATTATTATTATTTTGTTTTTAATCCTCACCGAGGACATTTTTCCATTTTTTGTTCAGATAGAGTGGGAGGAAGAGAGAGAGAGAGAGAGAAACATTGATGTGAAAGGGACACATCGAGTGGTTGCCACCTGCACGACCCAACCAGGGCTGTTGACAAACTGCAACTGAGGTATGTGCCCTTAGCAGGAACTGAACCTGGGTCTCTCTGGACTGCAGGCCGATGCTCTAACCGCTGAGCAAAACCGGCCAGGGCTATTATTATTATTTTAAAATATGTTTTTATTGATTTTTTTTTAGAGAGAGAGGATTAAAAAATATATATGTGACATTAAATCTTGTGTGTTTTTTTTTAATTGACTTCAGAGAGAGGAAGGAAGAGAGAGAGAGACATTGATGTGAGAGAGAAGCATCAATTGGTTGCCTCCCTTACGCACTCCAACTGGAGATCAAACCTACAACTTGAGTATATGCCCTGACTGGGAGTCGAACCCGCTACCTTTTGATGTATGGGACGATGCTCCAACCAACTGAGCCATGCTGGCCAGGGTATACGCAGTTTTTATAATAAGATTCTTCCTCAGGTTTTAAGAGACAACAGAAACATGTGGACTAAGCTGTCTGATGATTTGGAATGTTTAGTGAAAAATATTCCTCCCAACATGAAGGGAAGAGAGGAAAATCACAACAGATGATTTATTTTAACTTATTTTGAATGAACATACAAAATAAATAGATTAAAAAAATGTATGGTAAGTATGAGTACAGTGGCATACAAAAAGAGACCCTGTGCTGGAGATACACTACAATTAACTAAAGTGAATGGGAGGACATTTCTGATAATTTGGCCTAGTGAACTCAGCATTTGTCACTAAGTTGTGATGTTGGACTGTGTGCTGAAATGCATTCTATATCTTGTAACTATAGGATCATTTAAGTAAAAAAGTAGTGTTGTTTCTATATTTAAATTGAGCATTTATATTATTTTCATATTATTTAACTTTAGTCCTTTACATGTATTGGGAATTTTTTGATCCAGGAAATTTATTCAACTTGTGATTACTCAGTAGTTGATCATAAATGGCCTCTGGTCATGCTTAAGGGCCTTTAGACTATATCATTGTACACTAGCTTCTTCACTCAACTTGAAGGGAAAAGAATAATTAACATTCACAGTAGATGATTTTACCATTTTTTTTCATAGCTAAAGGGAAGAGGGAAAAAGCCAATGAATTGGACTTTTGTACACTGTGTTAGTTTAATTTTCCTTGTTTATTTCTGTTATCCTGAAAAATCAAGAGTAGCCACAATCCTGTTGTTACTTGTCCATTTAGACAAAACCTGGCAGTTACAAAAATGAATACAGATAGCTTTACTATGACTAAAACATTTAATGGACTTTAGGGTTACACTGGAAAAGTCTTCCTGATTTGCTCAATTTGATGATAAAATTTATCAAATTGAAATTATACTATAATGATGTGTTGTTGTTAGATATATCTAGATTCTAAAGTTAAAATGATTAGCTGTATTTTTAAAGGAGGAGTAGAGTAGATGGTGTTGATAAAATATCATGCTTCCAGGCAGTTTTCTTGGCACAGTCATAGGCATAGTACCAAAAACATTAGTTTTATTAAACAATAATAACTCTCAGAGAATGGAGGAATACCTTTTATATGTGTTGGTTAGTTTGATGTGATTACATAGATGTAGACATTAAGTTTTAAGTCAGTTATTTTAAATTAAAAACTATACTTTAGCTTAAGGATTTTTTTTTATAATAACTAAGGTTTGGGATGGCATTTTCTATTCTGTTCTATCACTTATTCACCAAATATTTTTTTGAATAGACAAAATGTGCTAGAAACACAATAGAAAGATTAAGACATGCATGGTCCCATCCCTTAGGTTTAGTGGAGGAAGACATACATATATATTTATGGTGTATAGTCTTGAGAAGTGTATGTTCTCAGTGCAATGGGAATTCAGAAAGCTGGAAGAATTTTCTGTGCTTTTGATGGGAGTGGATTTTAGGAAAGGATTCTTAAAAGAGGATCTTACTAAATTTATTGGAAGTTCACAGGGTAGATAAGTGGAAAGTCATCATTCTTGGGAGGAGTGGCAAGCATATAAGATATGTACATGTGAAAGAGTATAGCATATTTGAAAAACTATAATTTAGGGACCTAGAGTTGCTAGAGATACTGCCAGAAGAATGAGGTATAAAGAACCTTGTGTAAGGAGATTAGGTTTTATACATATGCAGAGAACTATTGAATATTTTTAACTTTTAGATTGATTTTGGGTTTTTATTTTAGAAACTTATACTGTAGCAGGTGTAGAAGATGGATTGAGGGGCTAAAATTAGAGGGTGTTGCATGTCAAATAAAAGAAGATAGGGGAAATAACAGAAAGTATGAAGAAAAGAGAATAGATTTAAGAGAGCTTTGGGAAATAAACTCAACAAGATGTACTGACTACTTTGGATATGAAGTGTGTAGAAAGAGTAGGCAAGGATGACTGAGGTTTCTGGCCTAGACAGTTTATAGATGATGGTGGCTTTAAGGTAATTAGTAGAGGATCAGTCCTTAGTAGAGAATTGGAGGTGCTTATTGAACATCCCAGTTGAGTTGTCTGTACATACAGAAATGATCATTGTATAGGTAGAACTTTAAACTTTGAGTGTGAAGAATAATGTGTATAAAGCATAAGAATGGGTTAGAATGTAATAGTGAATAGAAGCTACATTTTTAAAGAACAGAGTTGGGAAAAGAGAAGCCAGTGAAAGGAGACTCAAAAGTAGTCAGAAATGTATTGAGAAAATCAAGAAATGCTTGAAAAATAATGTCCTTTGGATTTGGCATTTAAAAGGAAGTTGACCTTAATTTTACTGTCAAAGTACAGCACAAGTCAGATTTTGGGGGTTGTGGGGGAGAGTGAGAAAGCAAATTGATGGTAGATTATTGTTTTAAGTTTGGTCCAGAAGTGAAGAGAGTGGCATGTAGGAGGGTTTTTTATTTTAATGTTTAAGAGGCAAGAGATTGAGTATATAAATAAACAGGCATCCTTTTATATAAATTGGCTAGCCTAATTTTTTGTTTTATTTACCTTTTATCTTTAAAAAGAAAACTTTAAAAAGCATATTACCTTTTGGTGAGTTAATTTTATTAATGTAAACTAAGCTTAATGATTGTCTGTAATTCTTTTCAGGAATATGAAAATAATGAAAATGCTTCAACTCAGTCAAAGGTTATGAATAAAAAAGATAAACGAAAGAATCATCAGGGAAAAGACAAACCTCTCACAGTATCACTAAAAGATTTTCAATCTGAAGGTAATATATGTATGCAATTTTTATGCTAGAGTAACTGTTCTAAGTCTTTGTATACTTGAGTTGTAAGTACCTTTTTAATTTTTAAAATAATTAAAAATTGTTAATCTGCTTAGAATGTAGAATATAAACCTGTTTGGAAATAAACCATTGGTGGTGAAAGTAATTTAAAATCAATCATTAAAATCCCATAAAACTAGAATTTATCTCTTTGTACTTCTGAATTTGTACCTTTCCTAAAAATCACTGAAAATAAAAATTGACATTTGTAGTTTTTAAGTAATCACGAAACATATTATTGTCCTTATACAGATAGTGATTTGGCTTAAATGAGATCAGGAATAGTTTCTTCAGGTTTCATCTATTACTGGTTAACCTTCTCAAGTTATCTGGAACTACATCTTATAAACTTAAAATACAAATTTTTAGAGTGAGACTTATTACCAGGAAACTCTTTGTAATATTATTTATAATTTTTTTTTTTATCAAAAAGAGAAGACAAGGAAATTACATGATCTACTGAATTTTTGAAGACAGACCACAAAGCACTTTATTTTTGATACTGGAAATGGTAAAAACCCTAGATCTGTACTGTATTTTATGGTAGCCATTATTCATGTGTGACTACTTAAATAGAAGTTAGTTAAAATGAACTAAAGTAAAAAATTCCTTAGTTGCATTAGCCACATTTCAAATGCTCAGTAGCCCATGTGACTGGAAGCTTCCATATCAGACAGCACAGTCAGAAAATTTTTTGAACAGCATTATGCTTATACTGGTCAGAGTAATTGCTAATCAAAAGACAGCTGTTTGTTCATTGACAGAGCAACCTATTTGATTTAAATGAATTTAGCCTCAATACTTGGGGCATTTGTCTGTGAGGATTAATAATACCATAGCAATAATCTAAAAAAAACAAAAAACTCTACTGTTTTCAGTAACAGGCCTATCTGTGAAAGTAGGAATAAATTTAGAGGACTATATTGCTTTCCTTTAAGGATTAGGAAAGTTGCTTTGTTTTCGGGTTAAAAGAACAGATGTACATTAAAATAAAATTTTCAATTTTAGTAAGAAAAATTTTATGTAAGAAATATTTCCTTAAGACTAAGCAGAAACATGAAAAGAATGCTTTTTAAAACAATTTATTTTCCATATGTTTGATTTATTAAATATTATATAAATTTATTAGGTAGACTGAGAAAGTTGTCAGGATGATACTGTCAAAGGGAAACTGTACAGCTGTTATAAGACATGATTAATACATTCTTTCTCAGGTTCTGGCATCCTATTGTATGCTAAGTAGAATAGGCTAGTAGAATGTGTAACTTAACAGAATTTGGTAGTTAGATCTGAAACTTGTGATTTTGACATTTACCGTGTTTATGGTATGGACTCTATTCTTTTTTTTTTATTTTATTTTTTTTATCCTCACCCGAGGGCATTTTTCCATTTTTTGTTCAGATAGAGTGGGAGGGAGAGAAAGAGAGAGAGAAACGACGTGAAAGGGACACATTGAGTGGCTTCCTCCTGCACGACCCAGCCAGGGCCAGGGACAAACCGCATCCGAGGTACGTGCCCTTAGTGGGAACCGAACCTGGGTCTCTGGACCACAGGCTGACGCTCTAACCTCTGAGCCAAACCGGCCAGGGCTGGACTCTATTCTTGATCAATGAATGCTTTAGAGAACTGGTTCAGCTTTTAGATTCTCAGTCATAAGAAAGCTATTTTATTCAATTATTAGACCCTGAGAATGGAGAATTTCTGCTGTCCACAAGAAGCATTATTAAACATTAGATATCCTGATCATTTTCCATTTAAATAAGAATACTTGTTCCCTGTTTGTACTTTAGTTTCAGCCTTCTCTGTGGATTCCTTTATGTCTTCCTTTTCCTCATTCTATAATCCCTTTTCATAAATGCTGTATTGTTACTAAATTATTTGTTTAATCTAGGTATATTTGTTTTGCCTTCTTTTTGTATTCATTCTATAAATATACATTAATTTTAGAATTTTTATAGTATATCAAATCACTATCATGTATTTAAAATTAAAAAAACTAGCCAATAGTTTTAAAGGACACAAATTACTATTTGACTTTTTATTTTATTTCACAAAGGCAGTAATCTGTATAGTTTTTGCAGTCACACTATCCTGTGATTTGATTTTAGACATATTTGTACCCCCTCAGGTTCTCTCCTCCTCCCAAAAATATTATGTGAAATCAAAAACTTAAATGATGTGGAATTAAAATGTTTAAAATATAATAATACTCCTTGTTATGGGTGGCATTTACTGAGATATAAGACTTAGTCCCTAAGCTGAACAAATTAATAGTTATATACTGAATTTTAACATCTTATTCCTAGAAAAATAAATCTGATTGTTCCTAGGCAACCCCCAAATGACTTCTGAAACTCATTGTCATTTTGAAATTCTTTTCAGTTACTTTGTTTAAAAATTTTTTACATATTAAAATACTTTTATATGTTGATTTCCTTCAATGAAATGTCACTATTTTGTTTTACAGATCACATTAGTAAAAAGACAGAGGTAAGTGTAACCATCTTTATTTTAGACAATACTTGATTATAAGAATAATAATTCAGTGTTTTTAGCAGGAAGTCTTTTTTGAGTCATAACCATAGGTTTTTAATGAGTAAACTCAGTCTATGTTTCTGGCAATTATAAGGATATGAAATATATTGTTGTAGAATAAATATGTGATTATTTTCATGAACTATAATATCATTTAGCTGTAGCATCCTAATTTGTGTGTGCCTGTGATCCAAAAGGTTATGACATGTAAGTTAAAATTTTAGGGAAACAGTCTGTATTTTATTTATTTATTTATTTTTTTATCCTCACCCGAGGACACTTTTCCCATTTTTTGCACAGATAGAGTGGGAGGGAGAGAGAGGAAGAGAGAGAGAGAGAGAAACATCGACGTGAAAGGGACACATCGAGTGGCTGCCACCCGCACGACCAACCAGGGCCGGGGACAAACTGCAATCAAGGCACGTGCCCTTAGCGGGAACCGAACCTGGGTCTCTCCGGACCGCAGGCCGATGCTCTAACCGCTGAGCCAAACTGGCCAGGGCAGTATTTTAATCTTTATTAAAAACATCCTGAAACCATGTCTCTAGATATTTTGGAATTATAGAAATTGTAAGATGAACTGTAATTATGTAGTTTATACCCATAAGATTAACCTGATCATATACTTTTCTTACCATTCATCATTAGAGGGTAGTGTAGATATAACTTCCTAGTGTTATTGATACTTTTTAAAAAAAGACTTCATAAAGTCTCTAGAGACCTTTTAGAATTGGGAAACTATAAAATATATTTTAATATTGAGAATACTATTAAAAGTTGTTGAGTTCTTTTGACTTTTTTAGATAATAATTTGAAAGTTTTATTCTTATATAGTATCTTGTCAATTATTCCATTAATTGCTTTTTTTCCAAATGGCCAGATATATCCATTGGTTTGACTTTAGAATACATATATGGTTTTTTTTAAAAAATATTTTTTCCCTTTATTGATTTTTAAAGAGAGAGGGAGAGAGAGATAGAAACATCAAGGAGAGAGAACATTGATTGGCCGCCTCCTGCATGTCCCCCGCTGGGGATTTGGCCCACAACCTGGGCATGTGTCTTGATCAGAAATCGAACTGGTGACCTCTTGGTACATAGGTCAACACTCAACCACCGAGCCACACCGGCTGTGCCATATATGGTTTTTGATCATTTTTTTGTTGTTGCAGGCATTTGCTTGACAAATCAGAGAAATTAAATTCATGTATATGAAAATAACATTTAAATAATTCCGTGACTATATTAATAACATAGTTCTTAGCTATTCACACAAACATAGAATTGATTTGTTGGTAAAAGAGATGCTAGGAATTATTATTTTTTTTCAATCCTAACCCGAGGATATTTTTCCATTTATTTTCAGATAGAGTGGGAGGGAAGGGTAGAGAGAGAGAGAGAGAGAGAGAGAGAGACATCGACTGGCTGCTTCCCACACAACCCTGACCAGGGCCGGGACAAACTCTAACTGAGGTATATGCCATGCCCTTGACCAGAATCGAACACACAACTCATTGGTCTACAGGCCAACGCTCCTAACTGCTGAGTCAAACCGTCCAGGGCTAGAAATTCTTTTGAGGTTATTTACAAACCACTGTAACCATTTCTTAGATTAAATTTAAATGACCAGAAATAAATATAGACTATTAATTTTAGTAGAAAATGTGCTTTTGGATTGATTTCCAAACTTTTAATTTTTTTTTTCTTTATTGATTTTATAGAGAGAGAAAGGGAGAGGGACAGAGAGGTGGAAGCATCCATGAGAGAGAACATCGATTGACCACCTCCTGCATGCCCCCCACTGGGGGTTTGGCCCACAACCTGGTCATGTGCTCTGACCAGGATTCGAACTGGCAACCTCTTGGAGCATAGGTTGATGCTCAACCACTGAGCCATACTGGCTTGGGATTTCCAATTTTTTTAATCCATTGATTTAAATGGATGTTAGCTTTATGTGAATGACATGTAAGCAGATACAAATGGTACACCTTATTCCTAAGAAACTACCCCCAACTGTTAGTGGAGAGAAAAATAATTTCTATAAACTATTCCATGCTTACTTTTTCTTCTTTCCTGACATGAAAGAAAGGGGAAAAAAAGGCAGACTGACCAGGATCTCATCTGTTTAATATACATTCTACTAAAAGTTGTATTTAAATAAGCATAGGTATATGACATAGCATATATTTTTGTCTTTCATTATAATTATTATTTTATTTTATTTTGTTTTTGAGAAAGAGAAGTTTTATTTTAAACTCAGCAAGTCCTAGCACTTTTATGTTGAGCAGTTCTTTCTTTTGCTTTTCTTCTTTTTAAAAAGTCTATTTATTTATTGGGGTGACAACGGTTAATAGGATCATATAGGTTTCAAGAGTTATTTTCATGATGCATGATCTGAATATTGCTTTGTGTGCCCACCACCCAAAGTCAAACCATCTTCCGTCACCATATATATTTGAATGGGAGGGAGCAAGGGAGGGATAGAGAGAAAGAGAAACATCAGTGTGAGAGAGACACATTGATTGGCTGCCTCCGCATGACCCACCGACTGGGGCCGAAGATTGAACCTGCAACCCAGGTATGTGCCCTTGACCGGGAATCAAACTTGCGACCCTTTGGTCTGAGTACTGACACTTTAATCACTGAGCCAAACCAGCCAGGGCATGAGGATGTGATTTTTATCTTTCATTTTGTTTATGTGATGTATCATGTTTATTGATTTACAAATATTGTACCAACCTTGCATCCCCAGAATAAATCCCACTTGATCATGGTGTATAGTGTTTTAAATGTATTGCTGGATTCAGTTTGCTAATATTTTGTTTAGGATTTTAGCATCTGTGTTCATCAGGGATATTGGCCTATAATGTTCTTCCTTTGTAGTGTCTTTATCTGGTTTTGGAGTTAGGATAATGCTGGCCTCTTAAAAAAGCTTGGAAGTCTTGCTTACTCTTTTTTTGGAATAGTTTGAGAAGGATAGGTATTCTTTTTTGAATGTTTGGTAAAATTTGCTTGTGAAACCATCTGGTCCTGGACTTTTGTTTGCTGGGAGTTTTTTATTTTTTTATTTCATTAGTTGTAATTGGTCTATTCAGGTTTTCTAATTCTTCCTGATTCAGTTTTGGAAGATTGTATGTTTCTAGGAATTTATCTATTTTACTAAGGTTGTCCAGTTTATTGGCATGTAGTTGTTCATAGTATTTTCTTACAATCCTTTGTATTTCTGTGGTGTCAGTTGTTAATTCTCCTCTCATTTCTGATTTTATTTGGGTCCTCTCTCTTTTTTTTCTTGATGAGTCTTTTTATTTATTTTTTATTTTTTAATTTTTTTTATCCTCACCCGAGGATATTTTTCCATTTTTTTGTACAGATAGAGTGGGAGGGAGAGAGAGAGAGAAACATCGACGTGAAGGGACACATCGAGTGGCTGCCACCCGCACGACCAACCAGGACCGGGGACAAACTGCAACCGAAGTACGTGCCCTTAGCGGGAACCGAACCCGGGTCTCTCAGGGCCGCAGGCCGACACTCTAACCGCTGAGCCAAACTGGCCAGGGCTTGATGAGTCTTTTTAAAGATTTGTCAGTCTTGTTTATCTTTTCAAAGAACCAGCTCTTAGTTTCATTGATCTTTTATATATATATTTTTAGCCTCTATATCATTTATTCCCACTCTAATCTTTATTACTTCCTTCCTTCTACTTTGGGCTTTGTTTTTTGTTCATTTAGGTGTAGGGTTAGATTGTTTAGAGATTTTTTTTGCTTCTGTAATGCTATGAACTCTCAGGACTGTTTTTGCCGCATTTAATATATCTGGTGTTGTTGTGTGTTCATTTTCATTTGTTTCCAGGTGATTTTTCCATTTCTTTCTTGATTACATTGTTAACCCATTCATTGTTTTCTTTTTCTTTATTGACTTTTAGAGAGAGAGGAAGGGAGAGGGAGAGAGAGAAGAAACATCAGTGAGTGAGAACATTGATTGGCCACCTCCTGCATGCCCCCCCCTGGGGATGGGGCCCACAACCTGAGCATGTGCCCTGACGGGGAATCGAACTGGCTACCTCTTGGTGCATGGGTTGATGCTCAGCCACTGAACCACACTGGCCAGGTAACCTATTCATTGTTGGATGACGTAGTATTTAGCTTCCATATGTTTGAATATTTTTTAGGTTTTTTTTTTTTAATTGCATTTGATTTTTCATTTCATACCATTGTGGTCAGAGAAGATACTTGATGTGACTTCAGTTTTCTTGAATTTATTAAGACATATTTTGTGTCATAACGTGTGGTCTGTCTTTGAGAATTTTCCACGTGTACTTAAGAAGAGTGTATTCTGCTGCTTTGGGATGAAATGTTTTGTAAATATCGATTAAATGCATCCAGTCCAGTGTGTTAACGTCACTGTTGCCTTGTTAATTTTTTTGTTGGAAAGATCTATCCATTAATGACAGTGGGGTGTTAAAATCCTCTACTATGACTATTGCTGTCGATCTCCCACTTAATATCCACTACGATATTCTTTATATATTTAGGTGCTTCTGTTTTGGGTGCATAAATGTTTACAAGGGTTATATTCTGTTGTTGGATTGATCCCTTTAGTATTATGTATGTAGTTACCTTTTTTGTCTCGTTATGGCTTGTGTTTTGAAGTCTGTTTGTCGGATATTAGTGTTGCTACCCCAGCTTTTTCAAATTTCCATTTACGTGGAATATTTTTTCCATTTCTTCACTTTCAGTCTCTGTGCATTTTTTGTTCTTAAGTGGGTCTCTTGTAGACAGCATATATATGGGTCATCTTTTCTTAACCATTTAGCTATCCTGTGTCTTTTGATTGGAACATTTAATCATGTACATTTTAGGTTATTATTGATAAGTAGTCATTTATTACTCTTTTATTCTTTATATTTATATTTCTCACTTTCTAAATTTTTTTTTTTCTTCTTCTTAAAGCAGGCCC